GGGAGAAATTCATTACATAAAAAATAAATTTATAAAAATAGGTGTGCAATCAAAACATTGTATATAGGTATACATTATTATGCTGATGATTAAATCTAAAATTATTAGTTATTTTAAATTATAACTTTAAAAGTCACATGATAAACATAAACATTTTTATGATTATTGATTAATGTTAGTGTTAATCATATAAATTCTAAGTTGAATAATAATTTACATTTGCAATGTGTAAGCTAAAGTGTTCACTAACAATGAACAAATATCACATTTAAAATAAACAACTAGGTTATATCAATATGTTTTAAGAAATTAAAATGTATTAAGCCAAAATAAATAATATTTTAATATTTATAATATTTTTCTTAGTCATAAGCCATAACTCATACTTAGTATGACTACATATTGCTTGTATAAATAACAAATTAATGTATACTATCTATTACTAACGTAATTAATATTTACGATTTTATCATAATTTGAACTATTAAAAAATGTATTCCATAAAGTTATGTCACAGCTTGATACTACCATATTTTTTTATTCTCATCATAATCAACTTGGATAAATATAATATTATACTGTTTGTTGTTACGAATTATTTCCTATAGTCAACTACTTTGATTCACAAAACATGACACAACTATTTTTGTATACTTTCCTTTCAATCAAAACAGTGTCCAACAATCACGCAGTGGCCAGTTACTCTTTAGGTTTAGCCTATTTCCTTCCCCCAAATAATTTCCTACTTTTTAACGACAGGCTGAATATTACTTGGTGGGCTCAAAATTTTGTATTGCTGATATACTTTCGAAACATTATATTATTACTATTATACTAATAATTAATATAATAATATGAAAATTGTAAAATAATGTTTTATTGAGTTTATCATATTTTTATGTGCAAAAAGTATACTATAAATAAATGTATTCCCAAAAATCTTCGATGTATATTGTAACACACGTATATTATATAATACAATCTTGCCATTATTATAGTTATATAATTTGTATTTTTGAACGGATTCAAACTGTGAACAGGACCGAATAAAAACAATTTTTGATAGGTTTACAGTGTAACAATCGATTAGTAATATGCGCATGTGTTTGGCTAACTAAAATCGAGCATAGGTCACCACAGCTGGTTAATGAGCAAGCTGGTCTTTATCAACACGTAAGTATACGTCACGGATATTTCATATAACATATAGGTATAACCCCGGGGAAGCCGCAAGTGCACTGGAAGTAATGATAAATGAAATTCACATTAGTTTCCTAGTGTACTCGCCGTGGAAACGCTTGAAGCCATTTTATTAGTGCGATTACAACCGGTTCACTACTATTTCCGAACACGTGCCAGTAGAACTATAATAACTTTAAACGATCGTAAAGTGAGCACCTGATGTTAGGTTTAATCCTATACATTTTAGATAGTTGTAAAATAATGCTATACGCTACTCCTAAACCCCATATCCATAAATATTTGAATCATAACATAGATAAGAAGGTAAGTCAATGTTTAATTTAATTTTTATCGACTTCTTGTAGACTTGGTTTTATGATAAATACTAATATTCTAATACTATAAATTTGAATCTGATGAACGTATATTAATCAAAAAATGTAACTAAAGATTAATCTTTTATTCGAAATTTGTCGATACACATACCTAGGTAATATAACTGTTTATTACTTAATAATACATTAATACCTATCAAAATTTGTAATCAAAACTACCAATTTTGGATCGGTTGAAAAATTACACTTTTTTACCATATTATATTAAAATTCCTACTAATAAACTCATTACATTTTTTAAAGCAATAATTAACCGAGAAGATACTATCTGAAGAAAAAATTGAGAATTGCCTTAATATCTTCGACTTTTAAAATTCGTACAATTCTACATTTTATTTGTTCCTAATATTTATAAGATGTTCAGAACAGTTTTTATGTGTATTTGCGTTAACGCTGATCCATAATATGATATTAAAATTGTTTGAATTTATAAATGTTTTTCGTAATGACTTTTTACGACTACCTTCGACAATGTGAACTTTCTTTTGTTAGGTTAGGTCCTTTGGTCACAATTTCATCTTGCGTGACCACTAATTAGACAGTTTTAAGTTTCAACATTTTTAAAATAAATTTAAATCCAATGTTGAATGGGAAATCTTGAACTTCTTTTGTGTGCTTTTAGCATGGTAAATTAAATTAAGTATAAAATATTGGGAGTACCGTAAACAGAAATTGTATTGTAACAGTACTAAGTACATATTAAGGAAATAATAAATTGATATCTATCTTTTTTCTTTTTTAGATATATTAATTTAAATCATATAATACATATTATAGTATCATAGATACATAATGCATGTACCGTGATAGGAAAACTATTTTAGATTAAGTAATATTTTGATGCCCTAATTAACAATTTAACAATCAAAGTTTATTAAAACATATCATACCTATTCATAATAATTCTATTGTATTAATGCTTCAATAAGTCCCTAGACTAAATAATCTTGTCGATTAATCGCATTCAAATATTACGTCTTATTGCAATTCTTAGACAACTAGTTCAAACAATTGTGTTACAAATAAACAGATTTAAATATTGCATTTGTTATGGAGACGTTATAAGTTAAGTGAAATTTGTTTTTAGTATTAATGTTAAACAAACGTTCAGAAATAATATTTTTAATTTATGCGATCGATATTATTCTTCGTATGGTCGTTTCTTTTAAAATGTATACCAATAAAAATATTTTGTTTTTGATATATTGACCATTGTTATTAGTAGTATGGGTAAAGCAGTACCTACTTAAACTGCAGGTATACAATATTATATAACTTATAGAAGCAATTATTTTGTTTAAACTTAATACGCCTCCGGATCAGAGAGAAATAAATTGCTATACATATTTCATTTGGGTGAGCGTGAAAAGTAGTCTTATTCTCAGTATTATGCCTATTGTGTTTGTGTAGAGTATTTAATAAATAACTATGCCAACACTCGTAATAACACTTTATGCATCGTTCAGTCCTGTTTGGGCAATTTAATAAGTTTGGAAGTAATCCAACTCGGGTAAATAATTTATTTATTGTACAATGTCAAAGAGTCTACTCTTAGTAAATTCAACTACATTACATTTTGATTATTTATTGTAATATTTAGAAAAACAATTTTATAAAGTTATCTTAAGATATTAAATGCATTAAATGAAATAATGTGTGCTGCGCCGTATGTAATGACCATAGTATAATAGTATACATATGAGAGGTATTTGTTTTTTTTTCTTAAATTTTATAATAATACTAATTATAGAAACAATAAATTGCATTTTTCAATAATGGACTTTTAATATACCTATAATACGAATGGGTACCTATTATTTCATAATTTGTTTGACATTTTTGAATAAATGATTTTTTTAGTGGGATGTTCTGGCTTTCCAGACCATACCGATAAACAAACCCTTCTTTCCTATCTATCACTGCCTCCCGCTACTATTGCGAATGTACGAATATTCATATCCACAGCTTTGCATCTTTCTAAATCTTAAAATAATTTTAGTGTTTAACTACCTAAAGTATAATATTATATCTTTCATATAAACAAAATTATGTAATATACGATTTATGAACGATATGATTTTGGCACACTAAGAATAAGTACTAAATGATTACGAAAAAAAATAGAACATACAGCAACAAAATTACAAAACATATACATTTACACTTTATACAATAAATTAAATATAAAAAAAGACGAAATGACAACTATAAACAGAGCCCTCCGGTATTGTTTTCGAAATATCAAGCAACTAAACACGTCTACTTCACTATGTTTAGGTACCACAGATCATATTATTTGATATCGAATAGATTTTGTTTTGTTGTATACTGGTTGAAGAAAAAAAACTGAAAGTACATTTATCGTGAATCGCTTCAGTCATGATGCTTCCAAACTACAGGGTTCTGCGATGCCCTTATTCCGTGGTCATAATCGTGCGTTGATTCACAGTACAAATCGTGGCCAAATACAATAATAATTAGTTCATCGTAATATTCTGAGCATTCGTTTCAAAACAAAATCGAAGAAATATAGAATACCAACTTATTTAGAGCATATTATTACTTTTTTTTTTTTATTTAAAATACGGATCATAATGGTATAACATAACCGTACTGAAAATTACTGTAATTTGAGCGATTTTTTGCAACCAAAAAAATATTTCGTATATATGACAATTACCAAACGGCTAACACGTCATATCACTTAAAAACACATAAAAATGATATTATGATATATAATATACAACTCATTATACTAATATAATTTAATTTAACGAAATGGTCCAATCTATGAATAATAATTTTTTGATTTTTGTTATATTTACTGCAACAAATTATTGGTGAACTTTTACGGTACAAAGCAAATCGTAAATCAAAAATGTTTTGACAAAAAGTGTTACATACATTTTTTAGTAAAATATGAACAGTGACCGACCATATTGTAATTTACACATTGTGTAGATATGGTATAAAATAATGTTATTGTTTTAAAAAACATTCATAACAATTATTAACATTTTAATGATATTATGTCATTTAACATTGCAATGCATATATTATATTATTAAACTATAGGTATAAGGTACTAGGTACTTATATATTTTGTAGTGTGTGCTCACACAACGATTTGATTGTATGAAAAAAATTGATAAAAGTTCAAAACCCAAAATAACTTCGTATGCACTGTATAATATACATTATACATAATACATGCAAATTTATATTGTGCGGTGGTTCAACATCGTCCATATATATATCTAATACAATAATAGGTAGGTACCTATATGCAATACGTGAATATTAATATAATATGAATCACATGATACGTCTATTATTATGCGAGTATATTATACAATATACACACATATATAGTCTTTACAGATCAAACATTATAATCATATAATCTATGGAATTGGCACTTACCGGTTTAGTAAATATACACGGCGGATCGGTTCGATAAGTGTGTGGGCGTATGTAATATATATATATATATATTGCCTTGGGTAGGCAACACGGTATGTATTGTGGCGTGTGTTGAATCCGTCGAGACGATTTTATTCGGCACAAGACACGTCGTCGACTAGCCGTAGGTGTAATAATATGATATAATTAATATAGCCGCCGCGTGTTTACTGTAGTGTTGTCGTTCGCGCAAAATCGGGTATATCGACGAATATTAATTCGCTGCTCGGGCACCGGTAGTGTTTCCAACTCGCGATTACGGACGTGAATGGACGATGGTGTAGACGACAGCGACTACGATGATGATGTTTCCAGACGCACACACGTCGAGGGTGTCGTCTTCCTTTCTCTCGTCGGCGCCCCCTCTTCCCTCCCATTCCCGCCCACCCACACACGCTCGCGCGAGTTAGCCGGACTCCGTGATCGTATATTAATATTATTGTAATCGGCCGAACTTCGGGGGAAGAAATATAATGCATAATACTATATTATAGGTACGTTAAATGATGTACAACACTGATGCAGCCGTTCTCGCGCGGAGAAAAAAACCGGGTCAAGGCGGTCGTTCGCGAAGAAAGAATAAAATAAAAAAATAGAAAAATTACGACGGAAAATATTGCGGCGTCTGTGCGCGTTAAAATAATATAATACACGGGTAAACGGGTTAGGTTAGGTTAAGTATCTACCCACCTGGTACGGGGTGCTTTTTTAATTTTGATTTGACTTGTGCCGCTCTCGTCACCATGCACTCGAGTGCAAGCAGTATTACCTATGTCGTTTGTTTTCGTGGAACTCGGTCTTTCGGATTAGTGTTTTTAAAATAATTACTATAGGGCTAGAACTTTACTTTACTACTGTGCACTGAAAATAACAAAATTATGCAATTCAAAATTAAAAATAACTAAAAATAAAGGACCTAAGTAAGTAAGTACTTATTCTCTTTTTGTCTGTGGATTTGTTTAACATTTAAGATTATAGGTAATCATTTTATTTTAAATTATAAATCATATGAAATATTAACACAAGTTTCAACTCTTCACGTCCAACATTTCTAATTCATTTCTAACATTTTGACTGAAAGCAGAAACCGCAATAGTTTGTTTTAACTATATTTAAAAAACATAATGTTTCTAACTAATAACGAACATTATAATTACAATAGTATTACGTTATATTATAATCTTTGAAAGTCTGAAGTATAAATATTAAATACACATAATGCCAAACCCAACAATATTAAAAACGAGTGTAATTTTAATTTTATCGATATATTTTATATTATTAAGAATTGTATTATATATTAAATATGCACCACAGGCAAAAATACAATAAAAAATGTACTGAGGATTGTGAAATCAGGAAATATGCACTTTAAATTAAAAAACTTACTAGTACTAAAAAGTTTAATTGCTGATAATACTATTGAAAATAATATTATATTGATAATAATGGAAGAAAACTTAATAATCATGAGTATATTGGAAAGACGTATAATGGGAATACGACCTTGCAAACTTTTTGATCCACTACATCGATATGTAGTAATTGACATATGATATTACAATAATTATAATCAATTGTAAAAGTTGTAACTTTTGCAAAAGTCTTAGTATTATTTAATTGTTTTGTAAATTTTAAAAAGCACCACTTCCCGTCAATAAGGGTACACGGGTAACTAATTTTTCCATCCCTGCTGTTAAGCTATATATAGATATATTATATATACAAATACAATAACTTCAAATCAGTGGCGCACACTGACTGGGTTGGATGTCAAATGGTCACAAATCACAACCCACCTCAGAGATGTTATTCTTCGTGAAAATACGCATTTCAATCGAGTTTGATAACAATTGTATTATTATAAACACAACCCTATACACCTCCCCCCCCACTCTAATGTGTGCACTTCTTTGTCCAGTTATAACGACAATGTCAAAGCTACATAATTAGTAGGTAGGCAATAGTATATACATACCCATTATAACAATACATTTGCGTCATAGCACGAAAATCTGACGGGGTGGGTCTAATAGTATTAATTAATCATAATAATAATATCCAAATTGCCGCCCCAACAGAATTCCGTGCGATTATATGTATATTATTATGTCAAACGGAAACCGAATTCGCGATTGTGCGTTCCGAAGGACGACGCGGCGGCCGCGCGTGTGAAGGCACATGCCTGCCGGCGACGGGACGCAAGTCATCGGACGACCGAACGGGGATGGTGTCTTCATCATGTGGGAAACCCTTTTCGATCGCAACCTATCTTGTGTATGTGTGTCGAAAAACCTTGACCGGACTACATATTATTATAATATTATGATGTACGCAGATATATTATAGCGCATTGTGACTGTTGTACGGTTTTTTTTATACAATAATATATTAAAATGTGTAAGCCGACCACGCAATATGAGTCGATATTACAACAATTTCGAGTTCTTTAATTACCCGAAAAACAATTAATTGTGAAAAAACATACAACACTATATATGTGTCTGTGTGTATTTTCTATTGTCTATATAACTACAATACATATACATTATATATAGGCATAATACCTACATGTATCAGCGCTAATTAAATTAAATATTTGAATAAATAATTCAATTTATTATAACGTGGTAATATTTCAATTCATGGACATATTTTTCTTTTTTATTATATTCTTCAAGATTATGACAAAGGGTATTAAAATCACAGTTTTAGATGGAAACGAAACATTCGATGTGAATTTGTTATAAGAAAATTGTTTTTTAGTTTTTTATTGAGTTATTAAGACAACATTTATGATCATTAGCCTGAAAGTCATTTAGTAGGTTTTTATCTGTGGGGGAGGGTACGGTCGGTTAGAACACGTGTATATGTGGCGAGGATTTGTCACTAAAACCCAGATGGTCACCCATCTTGGAACTAGTGACACCGACTGATGCTTGACCTCAGAACACGTTTTGTGACAGAGGTCAACCATCGCGACACACCAGGCCACATAAAAAAAATTATGTATAATATCTTTTCTATGTGACGAATTGAACACAGTGCTATTAATGTTTAAAGAAAACAACGAACAAGTAAATGTCTTAATTGGGTAAATAATTGTAGACTATATTTTTAGACAAAGAGGTATTTATTTAATTTAATAGGTACGTGATAAATTTGAAATTATTCAGATTCTAGTATTAGTTTTTACTAATTCACATTCGCTAATGCTATCAACATACAAACGCACCGTCTTCTAAAACAGGTTTTAAATCATAATCCCAAGCATTCGAGTAACATAATAATACAGTATATTATAATACAATTTAGTATAAATACATAAAAACAACGTCCAACTAGTTTATATAATGTTATATTTATATGTCAAAAGCCATTACGCAAGTATGATTTCCGATGTTTCATGTAGAAAGAAGATCCATATTTTGTCAAAATCATATGAACTTTACATTTACAACTTTCTCCAATCATTGGGAATTGAATAATGTTATATGTTCTCCGATGTTTACACTGTTTACATACTCATTAGTCATTAACAATGAATTGTACAACACACAAAACCGTTTTAACTATAAATCTACTAAAATAAAATAAATACTTTTAATTGCAGTTATATAAATCTCAATAAAGACATTTTTAAAAGGTTAGGTTAGACTATTCATAAGATAGTTTGTAAGGAATAAAATCTGAATTTTAATGTTAAAAACGGTTACATAAATATATTTTACTATAAGGTTAAAATAAAGTAACAAAATATGTGTCGATTCACGTACTATTGTGCCTATACCTACTTAAAATTGGAAAGTAAGAAATAAAATGTTGAAAAATATATTTCTTTTCTTGTAGATAGGTATAAGTTGGAAAGTTGGTTATCTAATTATTTTAGTCAAATAGATAATATAAAATAGTAATGAAACAATACTAATAACTAGTAATAAGTATTAATAATCGTGTGTTGGTGATTTAATTTTTAAGAATATTGAGAAGTAAAACAGTTGGTTGGACCGCTGAGTCGAATATCTTTAAATTTAAAAGCAATAATTTCCTTCAGAATTATTGTGATTCCTTTATTCCGGAGTGAGTTTTGATATGTACTTGCAGGTATACCAAATCGTGATAAACAATTATTATTATCGTTTATACATAGATAAATAAAATATAAAAACACGCTAAAAAAAAAAAAAATAAATAAGTACAATATTAGACTAATAAATCGAGAATTTGTATTTTTTATTATGTGCGTTTTCGTGCAGTTATTTTTATCATTTTTTAAAACATTTACTTTGTAGTGATTTTATCTATAACTGCTAACATCATACCTAAGAGTATTTATATAACCCCACCGCCCAAAATATAAACGTCTAAATCTTCAAAATTGTAAATAAATTTTTGGAGCCAAAAGAGTTATAAAGACATAACTTATAAATAAATGTACAAAATGATTGTTTAATATTTTATACATTACTTACCTGTATTTTAATCTAAATGATCCAACATTGATTATTACTGTAGGGTAGAGGACTTGTAGCTCTAAAAAATCACCAAATATGCACTAAAATGTACAAAACAATGCATTAAAAAATAAGATTATTTGTATCAATATATTTTATTTAAATTTTGATGTCTGCGACCGACGTCACCGTGGCCCGTATTGATAACATCTTATGCAGTGAACAATATCTGTACATAAATAAAATTAATAACCGGAAAATAAATTTAATCGGCAACCCTCGAGACATGTCTCCGAAAATTTGGGTGTGGGAACAGTCAACAACCATACTAATATGATCAACATTTAAAATAATTTTAAATTCAACATTATTTGGCTGTATATTAAATATTTAAATTAAATAAAAACGTTGACGGTAAAAATATTGATAAATTGATAAATCATTGAAAATGTGCAACTTAACGTATAGAAACGAAGACATATGCGCTAAAACCAAAAAAACTAGAAATATGCATTTATATGCATAATAAAATTTCAAAACTAGCTTTGTTTCAGCATGAAGCCGTGAAACCTTTTTTTTTCTTACATTGCTATTTTTGTGATCGTGCAAAACAAATATGCAAATGCTACAAGTCTTCTGCCCTAATTATTGGCTATACAAAATGAAAAACATCTTACAAATATTTATTTACGTAAATTGTGTAAACTAAAATATATGGATAGGTAGAGAGATGAGCTCACCTTCAGCCGACCGTTTTGCGATTTTGTAATTAAAGCAATAATCGTTTAAAAAAAAAAAAAATGTTTCGGCACCTAAATGCTAAAAGATAATCCGG